GGAGTGTGCAAAGTTCTGTGCCGCCTCACTTCATCATGGATCCCATGCTGAGGGAGAAGGAAAGTGATGAAGGCAATTAGTGGAACGGCACAACCCCAAGTGATACAGGATTTAGGGCTTCGGGCTTGTACCCGGCTTACGTTGCTTCTTTGACTTCACCTGACGAGCAGATCAGACACATCGGAGCGCCTGCACCGCGATCGAGCCTCAGCACGACGATCAGGTCTGCTGCACTTAACCTTAAACTCTAAGGGCATGAAGCCCAATTTCTGGATCAGTCCCTACATCCTCCAGCCGTCGCACAGTTTCTTCGGTTCAGGATTGTTTAGTGTCTTTGGGCCAAAAGCGGCACGGAAAAAGACCCTGCATTAGGGAAAGCCTCCACCCAATTTCGCCGAAACTCCTCGCGTGCTTGACAAAAATCGGAAGCCTTAAACCGATGCCCTACAACTGATACCGAGAACTGCCAACCCTGCATCTTTAATCTGCATATACCATGACATATACTCATAGACCAAGGAACTTTCAAAATCTTATAACATGATACTGTCACAACATACGGTGATAGACTACGATATACTATAGCACATTGCCCCAAACCCTAAACCCTAAACATTGCTCTTTGAACCCCACGAACCGACTTTTTCCTGGGCTCCCGCGAGGATGCCCGCGTTTGCTCCGCAGAGGCGGAACGGCGAGTCTGTGGGAGCTTCCGGGTTGAGGAGGTTCCCTTTGAAGGGGTCTATCAGGGTTTAGGGTTTAGGGGTTTAGGGTTTAGGGTTTCGGGTCTACGTTTTTAGGGTTTAGGGTTGAGGATTTGGGTCTGTCAGGGTCCTTTTCAAGGCTCCTTCACAGGATTCTACGAGGGTTCCCTTTCAGGACTCCTCTACAGGATTCTATCAGGGTTTTATACCAGGCTTCAGAAAAATCAGGATTTAGGGCGTAAGGTTTGGGGGTTTAGGGTTCCAGACTTCAGAGCTCAGCATTTGAGGCGTAGGCTTTCGGAATATGCGTAGATATGGCTCCAAACTTAGAGGATGAGCAGGGACCGAAGAGTTTGCTTTACATCTGAACCTAAAACTCAACAATTTGATTCTGCTGCTGCTGCTACCACACTGCTACTACTGCGCCTCGTCCAGCTGCTACTACTGCAAGTGCAAGTACGGGTACTCTACTGCTTTGCTACTGCCGACGACTACTGCTACTAACTATAACCACTACTACTACTACTAC